TCTCTCCCATTCTCTCTCCCATTCTCTCTCTCTCTATTTTATCTATCTCTCCTCTACACTGTCAACCTTTTGTCCATTCCTCTTCTACACCGTGAACCTTTTACCTGTCTCCCTTACGCCGCTTCTACGCTCTCCCGTTTTTCCGTCTCTTATTTGTACGCCCGTTGTTGGCTCGGCTCGATGCGATCATCGAGTGCAACATCAATGTTTAACTAATGCGAGAAATTGTCTCTTCTTCTTCTTCTCCTGCCCCGCTGATCCCCGTTTTGCAGAGCACCCCGTGCAAACACCCGGTGATAGTACTTCAGGATGTAGCGTTCAGCGACTTGCACGCGCTGGTGGAGTTCATCTATCACGGGGAGGTGAACGTGCATCAGCGTTCCCTTAGCAGCTTCCTGAAGACCGCAGAGGTCCTCAGGGTATCGGGGCTCACGCAACAGGCGGACCAAACGGACAGGGACGAGGTAAGCTCTTCTGTGTCCGCCCACATCTTACTCGAACCTCGCGCCGGAGACAGCGTCGGGAAGGGAATCCCGGTAAAGGGATTTTTCTTTCGACGACAGCTGATTAACCCCTTGACCATTAATACAGTTAAGCGTCGAACAAAGTTCAGGCGGGTTCTCAAATCGGAATTTACAGGGAACGTTTTTGTAAAATAATATTATTTCATTCGATGCGACGCGTCGATATAACTTGCCGCTGATACCGATTTTATTGATTAAATTAGTGGAATACTGATTGAAATCAGTCCTCGATTCGTTTAACGAGAGAACCGCACGAATTTTTCTATAGAAATTCGAAGGGTTTTGTTCATTGAAATTTCGATTGAGTTACCAGTCAAGTTCGATCGGTTTGTAATTCCGTGTTCTACGACGAGGGGCTAATTCCGTCTACGTTCGACCCGGTTCTCCGAATAACGAAACGATCGTCCGCCATATGCGTAACGTCGAGTCTCGGCATGACTCCAGCTCGCAAATTGATTATGCTTTGCATGTTATCTCTGATAGAGACGTGACTTTCGACTAAAGAGGCCCCTTATCTCGGTGCACAATGTATATCCATCTTGATCCCAATCCATAATTGTCATAGGTCAAGCAAACAAAGATAACCGGGCGACGTTACAAATAGAAATCTCAATAATCGTGCACCGGAGAAAGTTGGCGAAAACGCTCCATTAAAAAGCAATTCGGCCCGGGAGAGAATTGAATTTCTCGTGTTGCATCGTACTCGAGATTAGCGTGAGTTCCACAGACGGTGAAAAACGTTTCGATGATTTATTAAGACGCGTGCTGACGGATCGCGGAGTCTATTCGAGAAGCGGTCGGTGAATGTTTAACTCCGACCAACTTTACACCGAACCTTGTTCGTATGAATGATGCATAAAAATTACTTTAATGGAGCAACGACACTATTAATAAATGCGAAATCAGGTTGCGAATGGAGATCGGAGTCACTTCGAATCGAGGGGGTGGAACAGCGTTTGTCCGAATCGTGGGCGAGCGATCGAGTGCTCTGTGACAAAAATTTCGAATTTTATATATTCGCGCAGTTTATTATCTAGAAATTATCTACAAAGAAACTAAGTAACAGAGAAAGCGAGGGATTCTAAAGATAACGTGTTGTCAAGAGAAACAAGCATTCTCCCCCGTAACGCGTTAACCCCTTGAACTGAAACGACGAGTGTTCTCAGCGCGAAACTGGATTTCCTGAATTATTTAACAAACATACTAACTCGCAACTAAAATAATTATCTGTTTCTCATAAATAAAGTTAACCGAAGCTAAAACACTTCAGTTCTACTTAACCTTTTGGCTACTATTGGCGCATAATTTAAAATTTTGCTCTCGCTGTACTGTTGCCTACGGCGCTAGTAAATTGTTATCGACAATGTAGCAAAGCTTGCTTAGATCGGACGTAAGTGAATTCTAACTCGACAGTTACACGTTCCGTTAGTCATATTATATAGATGTGATTATTTTATATTAGTTTAATTTAGTTCAATTCGTGGATTCATTTCAAAGGGTTAAATAACTGGAAAGGCTTGTCTCGAAATCGTTCTCGAATCTCTTCACCTGATAGACAAGTCTACAATCTGCCATGTCTCTTGTTAAAGCCGAGGGGTTAAAACAGCCATGTCACGATAGCATTAAACAACATGAACAGTACTGTTCGATTCCAAAGAAATCGTCAAGCCAGGGGTTAACCCTTTGCACTCGGAAGTTTCTCGCTAGAAGCATTCAACATTCTTCAACCAAAGACAATATTCTTCGAAACTAACTCGAGGTGAAATCACAAGGAACAAAGCTATTTTTCTCGTCATTACTCAAAGTTCGACATTAACACTAGAACTACCGTCCCAGTCCAAATGACTGGTTCCGATTCGTTTGTTCCTCAATCATCGATATCTCAAAAGCATTCAACATTTGAAATGACCTTGAAAACAAATAGTATCATTCGAATACTACAATGAACGTCCGAAGAAACTGAAAATAATCTTGTCACAATTTTCATAGGTATTACACGTGAACCGCATGAAATGCTCGGTAGTTCTAGTGTCAAATATTCTATAATTTCACCGCGTGAAATCGAATGGCGGCTAAGAGCCACCCGCCGAGTGCAAAGGGTTGAAAGTTCGATTCCCGATCGCCTGTACCCGAACGATTGCACGTTGAGTTCGAATGGAGGCTGACTGGTCTGGTTTCCGTGTTTCTCCCGCAGCTGTCCCACGTGCGCGCGTTGGCCGCCGGTGGCAACCATCTTCCCTTCCACGAGAAACTGGAGGAGAGTTTCCCGCGCGGTGGTTCGCCGCCCACGCCGGTCACCCCGACGCCGACATCGGTGCAGCAGTTGCAGCGCAGGCTACAGATACGCAGGAGGCGGACGCCGAGCCCGCACGATGAGTCGACGGACAAGAAGCTGAGGGCGACGTCGCCGCCGCTGAACAACAACGACGCGACGCCCACGGACTTCTCCATGGTGAAGAACAACCATCTGTCGACGAAGGTCGAGGGTAACGGGGTCCACGAGGAGAACAGCCCCCTGGAGGACAACATAAAGTGCGAGCCGCTCGAGCTGACCGGCGGGAACAGCGGCAACGGAGGGAACAACGAGGACTCGTCGGACTCGGGCGCGGCGGCGTCGGACAGGCCGCCGGCGTCCGCGAGCAGTAACGAGCACGAGGCCGAGCCCGAGCACACGTCTACGTCGATTTTTTCGTCCGACGCGAAAATCTTCCCGCCCACGCCTGGAAGCTTTAATTTCAGTATGGCGGCGCTCGCCGCGGATCACACGCCGTTGTCAGGTACGCGGACCGATACCACCACGGACCGGGGCCTGTACGCATTGACCAATTCTGATCGCGCCCGCCCCGATGATACCGTGGCACCTCGATAATCGGAATTAACGTTTCACGCGTCGTTGGATCGGCAACGTTCTTCTACCAGATCACTTTCTCGGTGAAACGGGAATTTAGTAGCGAGGGATTCTTGCAGCTAGTCTTTTAATGTTAGCTTCATGGTTCTTGTAATAGTAGTGATTAGTATTTGGAAGAATGTAGGTTCAAAGAGTTGTTCGGAGGGTATCAGTCGATATTTAATGTCGTAGAACCGTTTTGTTTCGCGTTCAAATGATTTTGGAGTGGATATTGAATAGCGAGGGTTCATTGTGACTAGTCTTTTAATGCTCTTATTTTATTAATAGTACTGATTAGAGTTTGGAAGGATCGAGGTTTAAAGCGAATTTATTGCGGTCCCAGTAGAACAGTCGCGAAACCGCGCGAGGAGGTATACAGCAACGGCGACGTTCCAGATACGGGAATCATATTCAGAATTGACCTCGAACGGGACGGACATCGATTTAAACGGGACACAGATTATCGAGGGACCACTCCGAGCCGTTCTCTTATTAGTAGGACACTCCTCGAATAGAAATTACGGCTGGTTTCGTTACACTCGGGCGTCTATTTCTGTATAGATTGTAGATCGGTCGACTTTTGCGTTCAAGTGTTCGCGATAATGAATTTTTCCCCGTGATTTCCCGCCGCGCGCCGTCGCCGCACAAGCGATCCGCTTTGTTCCTTTCTGGTCTCCCTTAATTGCTCTGTTGCGTACAGGCCGTTGGTCGGTTGCCCGTCGCGCTAGAATGTACGCTTCTACGTGTGACGATAGTGAAATTTCCAGGATTGGGCCACGGGCTGCAACCACCGGAATTGGCAGGAACTTCGCAAGGTAAGAACATTTACCATTCAGCTCTGCCCCGTTGGAATCATCGGGACCGGACGCGACCGGTGTACCAGACTCGTCGAACAAAGTAATTAATCTCTCCTGCTCATTGAATCGGTCCGACTCTCGTACACCGATCCTCCGTTCCCCTTGACTCCGGC